TTGCTGGTTTAAGATGGTCCTTTGCTGGTTCATGCTGGTCCTTTTCTGGTTAATGCTTGTCCTTTGCTGGTTCATGCTGGTCCTTTGCTGGTTCATGCTGGTCCTTTGCTGGTTTAAGATGGTCCTTTGCTGGTTTAAGCTGGTCCTTTGCTGGTTCATGCTGGTCCTTTGCTGGTTCATGCTGGTCCTTTGCTGGTTCATGCCGGTCCTTTGCTGGTTTAAGCTGGTTCATGCTGGTCCTTTGCTGGTTTAAGATGGTCCTTTGCTGGTTTAAGCTGGTCCTTTGCTGGTTCATGCTGGTCCTTTGCTGGTTCATGCTGGTCCTTTGCTGGTTCATGCTGGTCCTTTGCTGGTTCATGCTGGTCCTTTGCTGGTTCATGCTGGTCCTTTGCTGGTTTAAGCTGGTCATGTGCTGGCAAAGGACCAGCATAAACCAGCAAAGGACCAGCTTAAACCAGCATCCCAGCGTCAAAACATACCTAACCAGCATATGCTGTTTTTTTCAACAGAGCTAATTGTTATTTTTTTTAAGTTTTATTTTTGCAACCAGACCAAATTAACGTCCAAAGAACATTGCAGGGATGTTTTTATGACGTTGAAAAGAGAACCTTCATAGAATGTTGTTTTACATTCAGCCTATAACCGGATAATTAACGTTCCCAGAACATTGTGGGGATTATTTTTTATTTATTTACAGACTAAATGGAACCTACATATAGAACGTTTATTACCAGACCAACCAACCAGAACGTTCTTGGCACCAAAACTGATATATTTGACCTTCTTTTCTAGATTCCAGCTTACTCTGCACATTCACCAGCCAGCTTTACCAGGTCCTTTTAAACACTAATGACGGAGAAAGGTGAGATTTGCACTTAATTTTTCCAAAAACGTTCAAACGATCAACAATATTTCCGTGTTATTCGGAAGTCGAAAGCCTCCACGCGGTGGCGCTGTTGCTCCCGTTTCTGTTTCGCGAAACATTTAACGCAAGTGATTTGTGCGTCTGTGTGTAAAAGGCTATAGCGATGCGAATATCCATAACGAAAGTCTAACATGAATATGACCGACTGTTTATGAGACATTTGTTGTTTTAATGAACCATAGACAGTAGCGAGCAGAGATCTGCGCATGTCTGAGCGTCCAAGTGAACTCTTGTCCTTAAAAATCGGTTTTATTCGAGGATAAAATATTTTATCTGACATTCATGGCGTTTATAAATCACGAGCACACAACAACTGACAGCTGTCATTAAAGGCTTTAATGGGACAGGCTTTAGACACACACACACACACTAACTCTCTCTCTCTCTCTCACACACACACACACACAC